CAAACATCTCAATTCCCTCCCCCTCATATGAGACACACCCATCTCCCCAACCCCCATGCCCAGGTCCCGGGGCACTGTGGAAGCCTCATTGACAAACAACGGAAAACCCCTCTCAGGTGCACACTGCTCCCAGGACTGAAAAAAGAGAAGTATAACCCTTTTTCAAGGCAGCGCCTCTGTCTTTCCCTCTGTCTCCCAAAGGAGAACACAATGCAACCCAGCAGGTCCTCACAGCCAGGCAGCACTCACCTCCCGCAAGTGTTGTCCCACAGCATCTCTAACCAACACCGACAGCCCCGCCCGGCCATCATCCACCTGGTCCACCTGAGCCTGCAGTTTCTGAAGCACAGCTGTCAGCTCCTGCAGCCTCTCATCATGGCTGCGGCACTGTCCAGACAAAGAGGCCACCTGCTGCTCCATGTCACGTGTCCAACGCCACTGAAAAGCCTCATCATCACCCTGAGATAGCAAACAAGGAACAAAATCCAGCAGTCAAATGACCACAGCACGGGGTCAGTCAGAAACACAAATCAATCTATTACAGCAAGGTGCCAACTGCAGGGCGCACAACACACTAAAAGGTAGTTCACGCAACCTTAATTACTACTGATTATCCTTACATGATATGACTGCAAGTGGTTTTCATCTTCTTCTTTATACTTTCCACATTTTGCAAGTCATGAACACTATTATGTTTTCTAAATTAAAACTAACTGAATGAGATTACTTTAACTGTGTATTACTTGAATTATTTTAGAATATTTAAGAAGCTATAAGACTTGCTTATCCTACACTTAAAAAATATTTTCTGAACTAGAACACATAACTGAACCTACCCTGCTCTTGAGTAGTATGAAAACTTACCCTGGAGAATACATATTTGCAATGCCAGTTAAGAGGACCTTCTAACTGGTTACCTGCAGAGGCTGGTTCAGGTGAGAAGTTTCAGGTTTAAGTATGTTCCTGGGGTCGTCTACCCTCTGTGTTCTCTGTATGTCTATCCAGTTCAGTATGGGCAGGAATGAAAGGAAATCACCCTGGCCCCACAAGGAGAGACCTGCTGGAGGACAGAACAGCCACACACATATACATGCTGCTTCTCAAAAATGGACTTCAATGCTCAATTTTTCACTATCTCACATACATATGTATGTATGTCTCCATCTAAGGCAACTAAGTCAAATTTTACTTACCTAGTAAAAGTAATAGTGGGATGATCAAGATTAAAAACTTACAAAAATTCCGAAGGCACCTAGAAATAAAATTGAAATCATTTAGTTTGGAAAAAGTAAAAGGCAAGTTCACCACTCTATTTTCCCTCTCTAGATAATTTTGTACCCATACCCTACACAAGAAATGCAGTGAGTTTTATCTATAAGGTTTGAGATACCTCCAGAAGAACCTTCCTATAAGACAACATTCTTGAGACCCACATTACCAGCACATTCGCAACTCTGCACAAGGTGCAGGTACCATAGGAAAGGCCCAATGTACCCTGCATCTCTACCCACCTGGGATCTCTGACCCCACTGAGGTCACTAGTGCCCTAGGAAAGGCACCCAGGCAACAGTCACAGGAACCACATTCGCATTCCCAAGCCCTCCCAGCCACACCAGCTTCCCACTGCCTTTCATTTGCACACCTCTAGTTTCCTAGTGATACCTGTCTCACCTATTTCACAGATTGATTTAAAAAATAAAATAAGTAGGCCAGGTGCAGTGGCTCACACCTGTAATCCTAGCACTCTGGGAGGCTAAGGCACAAGGATTGCTTGAGTTCAGAAGTTCAAAACCAGCCTGAACACGAGCAAGACCCCATCTCTACTAAAAATAGAAAAATTAGTTTGAGGTTGCTGTGAGCTATGATGTCATAGCACTCTACCAAGGGCAACAAAGTGAGACTATGTCTCCAAAAATAAACAAATTAATTAAATTAAATTAAAAATAGAAAAAATTATGGCTGGGCACCTGAGCTTAGTGGTTAAGTATTTCAGCCCTATGCACCAGAGGTGGCAGGTTTGAACCTAGCCCAGGCCCACTTAACAAAAAAAAATAAAAATAGAAGTATTAGCCAAGCATTGACTGTGGCAGGTGCCTGTAGTCCCAGCTCATTGGGAGGCTGAGGCAGGAGGATCACTTGAACCCAGAAGTTTGAGGTTGCT